AAGTCATTTAACCTCTTATCTATTCAACAAATATCCTGCAGGACCAGTCTGCACTAAGTGATGGGGACAGATAAAGGACAGGCTGCCTAGTGCCCTCTGGCCTCGGGGAGCCAGGGACCTGTCCAGTCGGTCTTACTAACAAGCAAGAAGTGTTAGGTCTTCTGGGAGCAGGTCTGCAGAACAGCCTGTTTGGGGAATCAATCCCTTAACGAAAGGAGAAATGAAACTGAGTTGTCTTGAAAATGTACAGGTCTTTGCCAGCTGCTGAGGGGGAAAAAGTGGAGACAAGAGAAGCCTCTTTAGCCCAGAGACCTCTGCACTGCATAGAATAATTTTGGTCTGCAGCAAAATAGGATTTCTCACACAATCCTCTCCTTCCACTTGAAATGCAGTTTAAATGGAGGCTCTATGGTGAAGGTTGCAATATTAAACTTACCTTTAGAACAGTCTTCTTAAACTAAGAACCCTGTAGTGTTATTACATTAAGTAAAAGGAAATTTGAGACTATTTGAAGTGGCTCGGTTTTAGAGAGGCCAATCAAGGATTTCTTTCATAAGAAGTTCCAGGCTAAAGGAGTTGAGGTATCTTTTACATGAAGATTTTTCTGAGGTAACTAACTCAATTTTATAAATATTTATGATTTATTTATTTATTTATTATTTTAAAAATTTGACCAGAGAAGGAGAGAGAGAGAGAGAGAGAGAAGTGAGAAAGCAAGCTGTCAGGTCCAGGACTCAAACCGTGGTCAGCCATGTAGGAGTCCAGTGCTCCCAACCTCCACACCACCTGCTGGCCCAAGAGTGTAAGTTTTTCAGGACTTCCAAAGTGAAACGTAAAATCACCATTTTGAGAATACCGATGGCACATATCGGTTTATATTGTGAGTGAATTACTATGCTGTGTGCTATTTTAGTTTTTAGGAAATGAAAAAATAAAATCTGTTCTTTAGCATAAAAATAAATAGTTCCAGATGGCAGGAGTAAAGGTAGCCAGTAAGAATGAACAGGGGTGAGTGGAAGGGGCCGGATAAGAGATGTTTTGTATCCTCAGCTGAGGCCTTTTGACTTTAAAAAAAAAATGGAGGTGAGGGCCAGCAGGTGGAGGTTAAGGCGGTGGATGCCACAAGGCTGGCTTCGCGATTCGAGGCAGACCTGGCGCCTTGAGAATCCTGTCAGGCACATGTATGTGCATGTCCCAAATCCCAAGAGAGGAATGGAAGAGAAGCACTGTGGTGTGGCATGTCCCCGGGGATTGATTTCTCATTTTCTCTCTGCCTCTCTCTCACATGCCCTAGAGCAAAAACTACAAAAACAAAAAAATTGCGCTGAGAAAACATGCCATGGGGAACCAGCAGTTAGCGTAATGGCTATGTCGCTGGACTCCCACGTAGTTGACTGCGGTTCGCGTCCCGGACCCGGTGGCTTAAAACCCATGCCGGGCGCGTGTGCGTGCGTGCCCAAGATCCCGAGAGGAGAATGGAGGAGAAGGGATTGCAGCGTGACCATCCCCCCCTGGGGGGTGATTTCTCGCTTTCTGTCTCTCTGTCTCTGTCTGTCTGTCTGGCGAGCGCACGCGCCCTATAGTGAAAAACTTCTCCAAAAAAAAGGAAAAAAGAAAAAGAAAACATGACATGTACCCTAACCATTGCCGGGTTCACAATTCAGTATTGTGAAGTCGATGCACGTTGTTTCAAAATAAGGGCTTTGAGACTACAGGAAGCTGCCATTTACGGAATTACTGAAAGATTTCAGGGAGGGTTAGAGATGTAGGAAGATTGTCTGGGGGAGGTGTAGCAGGAGGTAGGAGGTGGCTCCCTCCAACAGGAATGGAAAGATTTAAGAGCTGGCTGGGGCCTTGTGGGTGAGGGCTGCTTTCTGGTGCGGTCACCTGGTTTTCTGCCAAAGGGAAAGTCAGCGAAGGGACCTCGGCACAGCCAGGCAGGGGACAGGTGGTGTGGGGGTGGGCGGGCAGCTTTCCAGGCCTGTTTGCCAGAGGTGGTGGGCCCTGTCCAGCCAGGATGTGCTTGGTTCAACCTCTAGAGTTAGACATTTTCTGCTTAGTTGCAGAAACGGAAAAATGTGGAGATTTTGTTATAGTCTAATCAGCGAGAAGTAAGAGGACATCCAGACATAGCCAAATTTATTGGAGTTTTATTGATTAAGCCAGTGGCTTACGGGGCGGGGGGTGGGGGGAGGAACTCATGTCTCTCAAAACCCTGCGGCCCTGGGACCAGCAGCTGGCAAAATGGCTATGTTGCTGGACTCCCATATATTTGACTGCGGTTCGATCTAGTCCCGGACCCGGTGGCTTAAACTCATGCCGGGTGTGTGTGCGTTCGTGCCCAAGATCCCGAGAGGAGAATGGAGGAAAAGGGACTGCAAGTGCGGTCATTCCCCCGGGAGGTGATTTCTCATTTTCTCTCTGTCTGAGTGAAAGGAAAGGGGTTCTTATATAGGCAAAATTCACAATCGATTCTGGGGTAAAGTGTGATTACAATGGAAACTGAGGAGGGGGAGAAGCGGAAAGGGAGTGGGGTTCCCACGCGAAAGCTGTTACAGAAGCTGAATCAGGCAGATTAATCATTTCTAAGGGCGCTCTCCACACCTTTGTCTCATGGTCCCCATGGCTCCGAGAGGGTCTGGTCATCGGTGGTACATTGCTAAGGAACAGCTACACAATAAGGTTCCGGGCTAGTTAGCAAGGACAGTCAGACTATTAATCACTCTATTTACTCTGGGCAAAAGGAGGAAGCAAGTGTAATGTAAAGTTCAAAGATGGAGGGGCTTCTGCTTCCATTTCAATCCATTAAAAAAAAATACTTTGGGGGGCCAACAGATGGTGTAGCGATTAAAGAACTGGACTTCCACATGGCTGATTGTGGTTTGAGTCCCAGACCTGGTGGCTTTTTGAAAATCATGCCAAGAGCGTGTGCATGTGTGCCTAAAATCCCAGGAGAATGGAGAAGAAAGGATTGTGGTGTGGCCATCTGCCCTGGAGGATGATTTCTCACTCTCCCTCTCACTGTGTGTCTCTCCAGTGAACATATGTACCCTATGGCAAAAACACTAAAAAAAAAAACT